AAGTATTATAAAGAAATTGAAAAGTCATGACAGTTACAAATGAATGTGTTGAAAGGGAAAATGAATGAGAGTTTCAAATGAATGGTAAAAGGAAAAATGTTTCGTTTATAAGTATACTAAACAAATTCTCACGCGTTGCGCAACATAGGTTAAAAATATATTGTTAAAATATTGAAAATATATATGTTTAAAATGGTTTTATTATTGACATTAAATTTGACATAATATTTTGAACAATATTATTTATTGACATCAATCCACGATCCTCATTAATAAAATTAAATATAATTATCTATTTAATATTATTTTTAACAATTTTTATGATTGATTAATTTAAATTTTTACTTATGCGATTATTTTATAATTTCAATAATGATGTTCATTTAAAAAAACAATTTATTTTTTGTTAACGTTATGTAATTTATAAATTGATGTTATTATCATTTAAAGTTATTGTTACTTAGTTTTAAATCACTTATTATTATTAATATGTTAAAGAAGACTTTTAAGGAACTCTTAATACTACTATTAAAATGGGAAACATACACTAAATAATAAACTGATAAGATAGATAATTTGCATTTCAAAAGAGATTTGCATGGATAATATGACATTATCTATGTTTTTTATAATTTGATTTTATTATTTATGAGGGTAAATTACACGGATGGTCCCTGTGGTTTGGGGTAACCTGCACGCCTAGTCCCTGAGAAAGATTTTTAACTCGGATGATTCCTAATGGTAAAATTCGTAACCTGCCTGGTCCCTCACTTAACATTCCGTCTGTTTTGTGCTTAGAAACTCTTCACGTGATAAGCATGCTGGGGGTATTTTTGTCTTTTCATATCACCCAGTCTTTATACATGGTTTATTTGTCTTCCTCCCTCATTTCTTTCTCAATCGTAGTCTTCTCCTCCCACCTTTCTCCTCACAGCCGATCAAACATGGTGATATGCAATTCTGGTGAGATAGGCGTTATATGGACTTCAACTATGAAGAGAAAATCATGTAGGGCATTTTATGCTTGCCCGTTAGAGGTATGATGTTGTAATTGTTTTGGGGGATTTTCTATTGTAACCCTAGTATGTGTATGTGCTAATCGAAGCTATTGACAGTACAGGGACCAAGGTCTGGCTTTATTAAGTGGGTAGATGAAGAAAAGCATGGTCATGAGGCGGAAATAAAAAATGATGGGCTTGATATCCAAATTCAAGAACTTGAGGTCCAAAATCGGAATCTGAAGGCATTGTTAATAATAAGTTGGCTTTTGTTTTTTGGGATAATTGTTTACAACTTGTAGTGTTAGCTTTAAGATCAATTGATGTAGTTGCAGTTGTTCACAATGCATTGTAATGAATCTTATTTATATCAAGGGTACCTGTAATATCCCAAAAATACAGGCCAAAAATTTCATTTTTAAATACATCATGATAAAACCAACAGTGTAATAAAACATCCAAAATATCATGTCATGTCATGTCAAAACCAAAGTAGAAATAATCAAACGTATTATCATAAAATAATATCAGAGTGTAATCCCAAAGATCTCATGTGCAGAAAACCATAGTGTGATGCGCTGCGATCAAGCCGGCTCCTTTCCTTTAGACATGAAGTACCTGAAACCAAAACTGACAACCGTAAGCACGAAGCTTAGTGAGTTCCCCCATCATACCTCATACCATGCAAGCATATGACATACAACATTCAACTAGGAGATACGGGCCACGCCCACACTCGTGAAGATACGGGCCCTACCCACACTTCGCTTTCTCGGAGATACGGGCCACGCCCACACTCGTGAAGATACGGGCCCTGTCCACACTTCGCTTTCTGGGAGATACGGGCCACGCCCACACTCATGAAGATACGGGCCCTGCCCACACTTCACTATCTGGGAGATACGGGCCTAGCCCACACTCCACTCTCAGAGAGATACGGGCCTTGCCCACACTCAACCGCCAACTCATATCATACAAGTATCACACAGACAACAAGTATAGACAACTATATCATACTAGCATATATCATAATCAACTCAACTAAGAGATACGGGCTCGGCCCACACTCTAATACTAATGTCTCGTCTATACGGGCCGGCCTTGGTGCCTTAGACCCGTTACTACTGGAAGGAAACTCACCTCACACTGCTGACGTCCCGTAGACACAATCCCACATTGCTGAAGTCCCGCAGACTCAACCCCAGCTGCTGGCTGACAAATTCCCGAACTGTCAACACCAAAATAACACCCAATTAATAATTAGGTCCCACTACATAACCATAAACACTTACTTTGGATAATTATATTACCCCAAGCTTGGCTTATTCAAGCCCAAGGCCCAATCCGTAGGGGCCTATACATGGTCTCATTCTAAGTCCCAACATCATATACTCATTAAGGCCCAAACTATGGCCCATCTATGGCCCAATTTTCCAAATTGGGCCCAAGCCCCTTACATGGGACTTACCCTAGGCCCATTAAATTATTCTAGTCTAATTGCTTGACTTTAGATGGCCCATTAATAACCCGATCATCAAAGCCCAAAAGGAAGGCCCAACAATAAACCCAAGTGAAATTAGGGTTTCACATAAAATGATGATTAGGGTTAAGTTTCCTACTTAACACATTAACGACTTAATCCATTAATGACTTAATCCATTAAGTCCATTATCGCTTAGATTAATCTTTGCCAAAGTTTATTATTTAATATTCCAAGTTATTAAATAATTCTCGTGTGTCTCGATTAATTCCCCAAAATTAGGGTTTTGATGGCATTAAGGTTTCCAACCCAAATACTAGCCCATTTATTAATTTGTTGGCCTTTTATGTCAATTAGGGCTTTATGGGCCTATTAAGCCCACTAAAATATTATTAAGCCCATTAGGGTTTTATTGGGTCCAATAGAGTCCATTAAGCTTCATTAGGCCCATTAGAGCTCCTTTGATCCCATTAGGATTTCACTAAGCCCAAACGAATCAATCACAAGAGGCAAAGCGCACCGCCACCCGACACGGCGGCCGGTGGCGGCAGGAGGCGGCAGCCACCACCCTAAGGTGGTGGTTTTCAAGTTCTTTTCATTATTCCCCTTTTTTTTTTTACAATTACAAGATGAAATACCGAATTTATCCACGCACACATACACTAAAATACACACACTAATAACATAAACACACACAGTGGTGGTTCATGGCGGCAGCCACCACCTCACGGTGGTGGCAGTGGCGGCTCTTATGATTTTCGGCTAGACTAAACACTCACTAACAGAAATACATGCACACACACCCGCTATATGGTCACCAAACAACTCCAACCACCCATCTGGTGGCTCACGGCGGCAACAGCAGCTGCTCACGATGGCAGCGACGCCGGAAAATGGAAGGAGTGGCGGCAGGCGGCGGATTTTGCAGCGATAGCCACCACCTTACGGTGGTGGCAGCGGTTCTCCTGATTCCTGCGAGCAAGTGACGCACATACAACCCGATTAGCTCCCTAAACGAACCTTTAAGGCAACAGATACGCATTTAGCCACCCACAAGGTGGCAGGATATCGCTAAAACGCCACTGATTGGTGACCAACGTCGGTTAAGGCTCCAACAACTAGAAAATGGAAGAAGGAGATGAGAGATAGTCTCACCGAGAGCATCCCAACTGCACACGACTTGCGTACGTCGGTCACAGCTCCGCCTTTATTCTTGGTGGGGCTTCTCTATCCGTTCACGACTTCACCGGAGGTGGCAGAGGAGATTATGGCGGCGGTTCTTAATGAAGCAGCGACGATCTCAGTGGCTCGCTCTGGTAACTACAATAGTAGCATCGTCGGTGGTGAAGAAGGAGAGTGATGGAGGCTGCAACGGTAACATGGAGTGAAGAAGATGGCGGCTTCCATTGTTTGCGCTAGGGTTGGGGTTATGGGACCCTAAATACTCGCCTCCATTTATTTAGTTTGCCATAAGGACCATAACAGCCCCTCCCTACCCTTATTCTTTCAAAGCAACCCCAACTTCGGAAATTCCCTTCAAATTAAGTCCCATCTTTTACCAAACAATCCCCATCTTCTAAAATCTTTACAATTAGCTCCTCGAGACCATCCTTTCATACATAATCATTTATTTTAGGGCTTCTATTCGCTTATTTATTTATTTATTTATTTATTTAATAAATAAACGGGGCTTTACAGTACCGTTTTATCAATGAAAATGATATTTTGTTGAACTTGATTGTATTTTACAATTTGTGTAGTATATTGGGACATTGCTAAAATTACATTGCTAAAAGCAATCAAAAGATTACATTGTTGTCGAAAACTGAGCAATCAAAAAATGAGCAATCACCATAAAATGAGTACAACAGATGACCAAAATAAAAGCAATCAAAAGATTACATTGTTTGTCAAAAGCAAAGTACATTGCTAAAACTAGATACTATAATTACACCATTGTTTTTCAAAAGCAATCAACATAACCATGACAACATATAACCTAGTTCAAAATAAGACAATGTTTATCAACATCAACCAAAACAATACATAAGCACCTAAAAGACACATTTATGGGACACCTTTCCCTTTTTTTTTGCTAACACCTGCCTTCACTTTGGCACTTCCATCCTTCACTTTTGCACTTCCAGCGCCACCAACATTCCTTGAAGTTCGTGATCCACCAGCCTTCACTTTTTCACTTCCAGCCTTCACTTTTGCACTACCAGCACCACCAACATTCTTTGAAGTTTTTGATCCACCAACATTCCTTGAAGTTTGAGAACCACCAGCCTTCTGTCCCTTGTAAGTGCTTGCATTATGCCCACTTTTGTTACACTTAGAACATGTCATTGACTTTTGTGCTCTTGATAATTGGTTACCTTTCACCAAATCCTCAATCCCCATGGCAGATCTCCTTCTTTTTTTCTTTGGTCTTGCAATGGGCATATGGTGTTTTGCAAGAATACATATTCTTCCATGTTTTTAACCAATACGTTCGATGGACCCAATGTTCGGGTATCTTATCAATTTCTTTGTTCTTCAATATCTCCCACATAGTTGCTATTGCATGTGCACATGGTATCCCTATTAGTTCCCACCTGCTACATGAACATGTTTGTTGGCCTATATCTACCACAAACTGTTTCAGAAGATTTTTACTGACTTGATATTTCCGATTCCCATAGAAAACAGACCTTAATTGTGTAGCCTCTTTCTTCAGTTTTTCGACCCATATGGTATTTGTAGGATTCAAGGGACCTACAACTTTATCAATTTCCTTTTGCACAGTTACAATTTTCTTTATTAAGTCCTCTCTAATGTACTCCAAACATGTTATGATTCGTACATCACGACCTTCAACAATCTTGCTATTTAGAGATTCACACATATTGTTAAGCATAGCATTTGTATGAGCTCTACCTGATAAATAATTAATAATGCATTAATCATTGTTACAAACTAATGATCTAATATTAAAATCTACATGTAAAGTGTGAACGAGACCAATGCTGAGGTTTAAGCCACTCATACACATCATTATTAAGTTTTCTAAGTTCCTCCATTGATTGTTGAAACTGTTGAACAATAGATGCTTTTGCACAATCCCATAGCAGGTCTTTGAATTGCTTTGCCCTCCAATTAGCTTTCATGTTTTCATGGATATGACGAAGACAATAACGATGCTCAACGCATGGAAACAACTTTGCTATAGCAGGTAACACTCCCTATACATGGAAAAATGTATTAAAAGTATACCATATATAATTTATTAATTTGATATTCGAATTAATACCTTTTGTCTGGCTATCATAAACGTAAAATTTGAGTTGGTTCCTAAACCCAAATCATCCTATAGACAAGTTAGAAACCAAGTTCATGAGTTGGTACTCTCAGACTCTGCAACAACATAAGCCAGTGAATATGTTCCATTATTACCATCAATTCCCTACATAAGTAAAAGTTTCACAATTAAAGCACCATCAATAACCTAAAATACAACTTTTTTTATAATATAAATGTAGTTCATATGAAAAAAGGTTACCACAGCTGAAAGTATTTGTCCTGGGTATGGACCCTTCATAAAAGAAACATCGAGACCAAGAAAGTATCTTCTTCCAGTAGCAAATCCCTTTTTTAAAGGACCAAGACAAATTTATATGCGCTTGAAAGTTCTAGGTTCTGCATTTGGATTTGGTTCACTCTCTACATCAATCTTCACAGTTGTTTCTGGGTTATGTTTTTGACGTTCTAGAACATAATCTCTCAATAGATCATACTGACCAACATAATCCCCTCATACCTGATTGAGAGCTTCATTTCTAGCCCTAAACACTTTCATCTTGGAAATTCCCACTTGGTAATCATGTTGCAGTTGTTCTTGTAAAGCAAAAATTGGAATAGTTGGGTTAAATTCCACCTGAGTTGCAATATTTTTTGCGAGAAACTTATAAGTACAGGCTTTAACATTCCGAGTTTGGAGACAACGATGTTCTTTGTTGTAAGATTTGACCATCCAGTTTACATCACGTTTCCATTTACTAGCATGGAGGCTCCACGAGCACTTCTCTTCATCTTCATTGTTGACTTCTTGTTGACCTTCCCCACTATTGTCTAAGTTTCCCAGCTTTGGTATTGTCCCCCAACACATAACTCTTACCCTAGTCTTGTCATTTTTTCAAAACCAAGTTCCCTTCTTGTCTCAATAGCATGGAGTTTATCTCTTTCTTTAAACTCTTGGGTTGTATTAAAGGTTTGAAGGATATAAAATGGTTCAACAACATTTGCTTCATCATTATCGTGAGCTCGTTGGATAGCTTTGATGGTCTTCTTTCGTTGACCAGCTTGACCTTCATCCGAAGATGAGCCTGACAAAAGTACCTCGTTATTTAGTACTTCATTAAGCTCTCCAACTTCATTCTCTTCTTGTACCACATTGTCATTCATACCCTCAACCCACTCTGCATCAATATCAATGTTATCATTGAAATCATTCATGTCAACTTCTACATCATCTAAGATGTTGTCATTGTCAACATAAAAGTCTATATCATCGGACTCACTGGATTCATAACCACTATCATCGTTAAAGTTTTCCTGACTTCAAAATTCTTCTTTGTTTATGTCCTCAAACATGTCCTCATTTTCAAATTCAGCACATGGATCCTCTCCATCCTTGTTACCATCCCCAAATTCAACTTCATTTGTGTGCTCAAATTTGACCCCAATTTCAACTTCAGCGCATGGATTTTCTTCCTTGTTATTATCCCCATGATCAATGCCAGTAAAGTCCATATTATCATTTCCAGTGAGGTTGTCACACCCAGAACGTCGGCGGAAACACCGGGTGGTGTAACGTCATTCTTCGTATCACAGTTATATAACATACATTGAACATTACTTAAGAAGATACATACCTTTATTGATAATTGAAAGTTACATAACTGTTTTTCTAGAACCTATTACATAATATCCAAATATAGCATACTTCTTAATGAAAAGAAAAGTAATTGTAAAACTTCTCCTGTTCGAATACATACCAGCTTTTCAAGTTCCTGAAATACATGCATTTTAAAATACGTCAACATAAAGTTGGTGAGTCCACAGGTTTTGACTCCATATAAAAATAATACATTTTCCAAGTTCAAAAGTATAGTTTTGAAAGTATCATTTTTACTCTCCAACGTTCAGTATATATGTCACACCCCAAAACCAAGAACGGCGGAAACGTTCTGGGGCGGAGGACGTCATGTATAGTATCACAACAATGAAAAATAGTAAATGTGACAACCCCAAATCTATTCCCGTTACAAATTCCATTTTCACTATCGGAATGCGTCAACGTACATTATTTTATGTTATATCTGGAATCGTCAATATCCAAATATCTAATTACATACATGTCCTAAGATCATTATAAGCAATATAACTCGTACGTGTTAACCTAGTTTAACCTAATAGAGTGGTATCACTATTTCAACCACTTCACCCGGGTAAAAAGTTTTAACCCCGTTAAACTTTAGCATCGGGTAGCCGTGTATCGGGTACAATACCCGAGACATATAAAAACACTTGAACACTTCAATTGGACTCTTTTACCACAATTACACCTCTCTCACTCTACTTTCTCTCTCTAGACCCGAAATCGACTCCAAATCCGCGAATTTCCGACTTCCAAACGTAAGGATTCATCCCCTAACTTAATCTAATCATACTTTACTGCTTTTAGAGTCCAAAATCATGAGAATCAAGGACCATAAAGGAGTTTACGGCCTAAGAAGCTCCTTAGGCCGTAAACCCCCAAAATCATGCCAAAGATCAAGTTTTTCCTCATTTTAAGCTAGTATACTAATTAAGGCATGTATCTAGAAGGGTTTGGACACTAAAACACATGGATTAGACATGTAAAAAGGAGTTTACGGCCCAAGCATGTGCTTAGGCCGTAAACACCTCAAACACCCCAAAAACACTTGTTTAAAGTCCCAAAAACTCTTCTAAGATGTTTGGTAAATTGGACTTGACTCTAAGGAACACTTAAATGCATCAAACAACTCCATTTGAGGACAAAATGAGGAGTTTACGGCCTAGCTTAAGCTTGGGCCGTAAACACCCAAAAATTTGTGTCAAACAAGTCCCTAAACTACCCTAGTGCTTGTAAGGAATTTAGTTAAGGCCTTTGGAAGTGTGTTGTACCATTTAACTTCACATTTGGACACAAAATGAAGAGTTTACGGCCAAGGGTGTTCTTGGGCCGTAAACTCCCCAAAAATATATGCCAAATTGTCCCAAACTCACTATATGGCCTTCTAGGATTTATCTAAGGTGTATGAGACTTTGTTGTACCAATAAAACATACATCTTGAAGGGTTTACAAGAGTTTACGGCCCAAGAACAAGTCTTGGCCGTAAACTCCCCAAAAATGTCACAAATTATGATGTTTAATCCCTTAAAATAGTCCAAGACACATACCACTAAATCAAGGAAGTGAAATAAGACCTTAAACATACACTTTGGAGTGCCACAAGAGTTTACGGCCAAACCTAGGGGGTTTACGGCCGTAAACTCCCAAAGGATGGCTTTTGGGCCATAAACTCCAAAAGAGTGAGCTCGTGAACCCTCCCGTAAATCATTCATGACTTTGTACCACTCCCGGGAACCCCTTCTAGGCCTTAAAACCCCGAAAACGATGCTAGAATGTCCAAATACTATAATGAAAAGCATAAGATGATTAACTTCTTGTAAAATACATATTTCATATGACATTAGGGTCCTAGGAGGTGCTCAAGAGGTTATTGGGTACCAAACGCTCAATCGACACTTTTACCCGATTTACCCGATTTACCGATTTCCGCGATTTCAGGTGAGTTCATACCCCTTAATGAACCTTTCAAATGTTTTATATGTTTTAGGGGGGAGATACAAGTTGAATATACATGTTTATGAAAAGTTATACAAGACTATTTTTCAGATTTCAGAGTTAATCACATGTGATTCACAATCTGTAGTTCAAATCACATGTGATTTATCACTATGCTTTATAAATAAATCAATTGTTTTCAAAACTATCTTGGATTAACAAACAAGTTTTAAATGTTCCTTTCGTACAATACTTTTGTTAAAAAAAAACTCTTTATAAGAATGTAATCATACTAATATATTTATATAAGTAAGACTTGAAAGACTTAGGACCGATAGCTCGCCTTATTTCCTGTTTCTTGTTTGATTGTGGACTTAGGGTAGTAGTTATCCATCCGACTGTCATTGATTTCTTAATTATATATCTCATATATTAGTACAGATTATGAGTACTTCTTAATTCATTAATTACCTGAATCACTACTTGATTAGAACCACATACACTAAATTAACTATAATGGGTATAGTTAAGGACTCTATCCCTTGTTTCCACTATTACTCTACACTACTATAATTCTCTATATTATGAAGCAATACACTAATAAGAGAATACAATACAAGTTATACGAAAGATTACTACACTATAATACAAGAGAATGCACTAATCATGAGACAACTCACTAATCCACTACGGGATACTCTATACGCTATACACTATGCCCGAAGTTTTCCGATGGGAAGACGACACTATATGTATAGATCTATACGGGGTAGACGCTATTACATCCCGACTGATAACTTCAGTCCGAGCCGCTCAGGCCCAGGGATGCTTTTACTCTACTACACTATGCATGACTGGGAAGGTCATGGGGGTTCGCTATTACTCACACTATTGGGAATATACTAGAAAGACACTATAACCGCACTAAAATACTAAAAGAAAGATGAAGTAATATCCCGAAGTAAATAAGTATCTAATACTAAAGGATGCTGCACCACTATTATATACTCTAAGAATAACTCACTATATTACATTACTTAATGGTGAGTCACTATTACACTTCTATGATAAATTACATTCAAAGATAGAAACAACATATTTCTTAAAGATTTTCACTTACTATACAGTTCTGGAAAATATGGGATTTTCTAGGTTTTACCACTATTTATGATTTCAAACTTCAGTTTTCATACTAATGACTCTAATGCTTTTTATACAAGTACTCACACTAAAACTCTTATGAACTCACCAGCTTTATGCTGATATTCTTTTCAAAATAACTTGTATCTTCAGGTCAAAGATAGACAGGTACAGCAACAGCATTTTTTTTTGGAGAAGATGGAGGATACAAGACCCATCTCTTATTTTTGTTTACTTTTGGTGTTTGTCAAACATTACAAAACACACTTGTAAATACACTTACTATATAAATGAAATGGTTGTATGTTTCTTGCTTTTACTATTATACAATTGTGATGATACTGTACACTACGTCATCCACCCCGAAACGTATTCCGCCGTTATCGGTTTTGGGGTGTGACAGATTGGTATCAGAGCATTGTTTATAGTGAATCAAGTATATCAACCTATAAAAGATATACGAACTATAAACACTTCGGGACTAAAACACTCTGACCAAGAATATATACTGTTAAGTATCTAAAAGATTTAACTAAGTATATATATACACACATCACTATAAAACACAGAAGTCAGTATCGTCCTAGAACCAAACAAAAGTATTAAGATTGTTGGATAGCACGATTGAGCTTAGAGACATATGGTCACATTTAGGGGGATGTAGCCTGATCAACTACGTTTTTCCTGGGAGTGACTAGCATGTGCCTAAGTTTGGTTGTGGTATTGCAACAAGTCTAAAACTTACCAACACTACCACAATAACGTTAACATTAGAATACTATAGGAGTATTCTGTACCTCTAAAAACATACATCTGTGAGAACTAAAAAGGGTCGTTACTGATGGAGCAATAGTTGCTAAATGGATACTTTCCGGTTACATGTGACTAGGGCGTTATAGACTTAGAATCTGTGATCTTTGCTTTACTTCCTGTTCCTTGTTTGGTTGTGGATTTAGAGTTAGGGTCACTTATTCGACGGACTATCCTGCCCCAATCACATGTAATTAGTATGCATTATGCAAGTATTGGTCCAACTCGTGACGACCGTCTTATAAGTAATTTAGGTTAGTACGCCTATTAACCTTCTTTTCCCCTTTTCTCGCATAGATACCATGGCTGGCTTCCACCCTCCAGGCGACCCGTACTACCCAAACCAGGGTAATGGGGGATGGCTCAGTGAAGAGTCGGACGATGATCACCCAATCCCCTTGGATGACCACCGAGCAGAAGGCTTTCCGGATAACTCCGACTCCGAGCCAGAAGTTAATAACCTACCCCCTGGAGTCCCAAACCCCAACCCCCGTCCGACATTTCAGGGCCCCACTCCTATGTGGGCCATATCCTTGCACAGATGGAGCGAAGAGCAGGGTCAGCCCACGCCATACAATGGAGACCGAAGTTTCTACAACATAAACGAAGGTGGATCAGCAGATCAGGTTCTGCCCATCATGATCCGAAGGATTGCCAGGAATGTCGAGCAAGGTCAAGCTGCAATAGGTCGAGTTGTGGAAGTGGATGCCAACTCAAATCTCAACACAGTTCGCATCCGCCAACTCGAAGAAGCCATGGACATGACAAGGAGGACTAACGAGGCTCTGCAGCACCAGCTGGCTGCATCCCGAGCTGAAGTTAGAGAACTCCGTGCACGCCAAAGGACTCATGATCGACACCTTCAAGAAGTTATGCGTCAGCTAGCAGAACTGAGGATTCACCCGACAAGTAACCGTCGCCAGTAGAAGACGTCTAGTTACCTCTATCTTTTGTTTAATGGATTAACCTATCCACTCTATGTTCCGTA